AGTACTTTGATAGAGGAGTGCATGATCGAGCATTGGTTGGTTGGGTCACCACCATCAGGCTTTTCGGTAACTCCGGTAGTAGTAGCAGAAGTTGAGATAATAGTGGGATTCATTTTTATGTTTATTTCGAGTAGATTGAATGCGATTTATAACTCTGAGAGTTTATTATATTATTATTATTTTTTTTTTTGAGTTTGTAAGTTTTTGGTTAGAAGAAAGAAGACAAGCGGACCTTATTTATAAAAAAAATCAATCTCTAACAAGATTAAATTTTTGAGAACAACCATTGTTGATGCAAATTAACAATACTAACGTCTTTCGAAGCGATTTACATATCAAAGCAGTGAAATATTATCCAAAGAGTAGGTCGCACTAACATGAAACTGTCGGGCATATCGTATATTTATTGTTTATTCATTCATGCATGGCATCATATGCATCTAATTTTATATGTAATATAATACATATGCGTGAATTTATTTTTAGTTAAAGTTAGGGATTAATTGAAAGAATAATAATTTTGGTATTACGCACAAGAATTATAATAATTATATTCAAGGTACTCCCGGTGCTTGATTGTGTAATTATTTGGGTAAATCGGGAATAGGTTTCTATATTCTTCCGAAGGCATTCATTGAGACTATGACTAGCATTAATAAACAATGTTTACACAGAAACAATGCTTTGCACAAAAATTGACCAACACTAACGAACAATGTTTTTTTTGTGTGTATGTTGACTTACATTATGACATTATGTTCAAAATCGTAGGTCATTTTACGTGAATACTAAATCCGGCATGAATGTGGATAATATTATTACTTACCACATATTGTGGAATTAGATAATCGTCATCTTTTCGAGATTAACAATTTTCTTAAGATTGATTTGTTATAAATACGACTTCACTTATTCTCTTTTCGCCAAGTAAAAATTTTGCAAACGTTAATTCTTAAAAATATTCTAATCAATTAAAATCAATCAAAATGAATCCTGCTATCATTTCAACTTCTGCTACTACTACTGGAGTTACCGAAAAGCCTGACGGTGGCGATCCAACTAATCAATGTTCGATCATGCATTCCTCTGTCAAAGTGCTCGGAGTTACCGAAAAACCCGACGGTGGTGATCCAACGAACCAATGTTCAATAATGTAAAACTCACGCGAAATCAAATATAAAAGCTCATAACTCGCTTGGTTACTCCAAAGCTATTTTTTTTATAACAACTTTAATTGTAAATAATTCTTCACTTGGTTTTGTAATCTAGTTCTTTATTTTTCGCAAAAAAAAAAATTTTTTTTAAAAAAATTAATTCTAATTTAACTAGCTTGATTCTTCAATGATTTTATTTTTGCCCCTGTAAAACGATATTTTTTTAAGAATTTTAGTAATCGTAGCTTATTCCCTGGTTTGGATATAAGTTGATTGTACTGTAATTTGTTTTTAAAGATTTCTCCGAGTACTTAATAAAATATCATTTCGATCTTAATTGCAAGATTAATGAAGTTTTTTTTGAATAATTATCAAGTGATTATTAGTTTGAAATTTTCAGATACGTGATAAAAAGATGTCATTGTTTGTTCTCTACATAACGGGATTAATAAATTATGACGTTGTATGTTGTCGCTCACAGTATATAGCCTAGGCACTTTATTAACCAATTTTGGAGAATGAATTGTTATTTGAAAACATAATTGATCCTTTTTTAAGTCGAACAGTAATCTGTGCTAGATCTCGCGTTTTATTTTTTATCTTACCTTTCTTTGATGGACTTAACGTTTTGCACACTTATTGATTATCATGTGAAGGCTATTGTGAAAGTAAGCTCACCGATCATTCCAAATCTATCTGTGCATTCACTCAACATTAAAAAAGAACGATTTGAAACTCGGAGTATTTTTTAATATAATTGTTTTTCCAAGTTAGACGAGATCCACATATCTAATTATCTAATCAATCATTCAGAAATGGTTTCGATAACACAGATTCTGAAACAATTTAACGTCAGCGAATAAAGTTTATGCATATACAGTATATTTTGTGTATAGCATGAATGACCTGTCATTGCATAAATATTGTCGGATAGAACACAATGCAAAAATCATCACTTTTTCTTCTTAAAAAAATAATCATTATAAATATGCTCTCGTTCACCTTCTCCTATTCAACAAAAAAATTCACAAACATCAAAAGAAAAATAATAATTTCTAAGGTTTTGAAAATTCTTAGGTCACATTATATTAAAATTAATCCGATATATAATATAAAAATAAAAAATGAATCCTACTATCATCTCAACCTCTGCTACTACCACTGGAGTTACTGAGAAGCCTGATGGCGGTGACCCAACTAATCAATGTTCGATCATGCGATCCTCGAATTTAATACTCGGAGTTACTGAAAAACCCGACGGCGGTGATCCAACAAATCAATGCTCAATCATGTAAATATATGACGGGCCCATCCCTTCTGGATCTTATAACGGTGCTATAAATTAGTATCTTCCGTAATTTTCACGGGTTTCACAACCATAGTCAAATCAAAAAGTAAAAGTATTTACCTAATTTTTCAACTCCCCTTATTCAAAAATGTATTTACGTACAATTTAATTCGGTTAATTTCATTCAAAAAAGTAATTCATGTAACCATCCTCAGGTCAGGGGTTAATTTGTAAATTTTTGACAATAAAAAAATTTTCTCAATAACTTATCAATAAATGATCCAAAATTCATTATAACCGCATACATTCTCAATTCGTCTTTAAAAGGAAAGGTCATCACATCATACCCTCTATGACAGTGCCCTTTGTTGGCGTCAATTATTTTCCTATGATGGTTAGATAACATGATTCCATATATACCGTATTTTAAGTTTATCAAAGCTAACATCACTTTTTGTATGACGGTATTTAAGTATAAAAAGGAACATTTGTACTTTGTTCTACCACACTCATCCCTCCAATCTTTGTGAAATGTGGGACCTGGTTGCGCCTCTTTTTAAGGAATTTCATGAAGAGCTCACAGATGAATTAAAATATCAGAAGCTCAAACGTGAAATAAAAAATTCTCATGATTTAATCGAAAGGCTTGCCGCAAAAGCCAAGCTTGATCCTCTCAGCGTGGAATTCTCAAAGCACCTTGATGAACATGACCGATTGAAGCCTCTCAGAGAAGAGTTTTCCATTCCAAAATCAAAGGATGTCGTTACCGAAGGTGAGTTAATGTTATTGTTTTTTTATTTAATAGATCGTTGATAACATGTTTTAGCGAATTTATAGGTACTTCAAAAACAAAGCCAAATGAAGAGGTCGTATATTTTTGTGGTAATTCTCTTGGGTTGATGCCAAAACGTGTAAGGCAACTTTTGTCCCAGGAACTTGACGTATGGGCCACAGCGTATATATCACATCCAATATATTTGTTTATTTAAAAAAAAAAAAAATGAATGAGACAAATATTCATTACAAATTGCAAATCATGAATTGTTCTAGTGGTGTCGTTGGTCATTTTAATCATAAATTCGATCGTCCGTGGATTTCTATTGATGAAGCGGTGGTGGAAAAAACTGCCGAAATCGTTGGTACGCCCTGATTGATTGATCATGGAAGTTCTGATGTCGATCCGACTACGCTAATATAATATCATGTGATGATCAGGTGCAAAGCCCATCGAGATAGCAATTATGAACACCCTCACCTCAAACCTTCATTTATTAATGGCCTCCTTTTATACGCCAACTAAAAGTCGAAACAAAATTTTGATCGAAGCAAAAGCATTTCCATCGGATCAAGTAAGTCATGAACTGTGTTTGACTGCTGCTGCTAGATGATAAATTCACATTATCCTTACGAAAAAAAATCAGTATGCCGTGGAATCACAGATCAAATTCCATGGATATGATCCCGCTACTGCGTTGATCAAGGTCAATCCCCCGCCAGGAGAGTATTTAACAAAGTTGGATGATATTTTGGATACAATTGAAAAAGAAGGCAACAAAATTGCCTTGTTACTTTTTAGTGCAGTTCACTATTACACTGGGCAGTTCTTTAAGATCAAAAAAATAACTGCTGCCGCGCAAAAGAAGGTTGGTAATTTTTGATTAAAGGATTGTCGTAAATTACAGCACATGTGATGAAACTCGGAATGCTTTGTAGGGAATTGTCGTGGGATTTGACCTTTCTCACGCTGTGGGTAATGTGGTTTTGAGACTACACAAATGGAAGGTCGACTTCGCTTCCTGGTGTTCATATAAATATTTGAATTCTGGACCTGGAGGAATTGCTGGTATTTTTATTCACGAGAAACATGCCAATGATTTTAACCGACCAAGGTAATTGGTATCCTGTTATTAAATCTCATGACGAATTAGATGCGATATCTTATTTTGTTATCAAACAGATTTGCTGGATGGTGGGGTTCCGATAGGAGATCAAGATTCCAAATGGACAAACGTAAGATTCAATATCTTGATGACGTCACCACCTAACTACGTGTAATAATTGTTTCTCATCTCTTGCATCCACATTCAGCATTCCAACCCACTCCCGGTGCAGGCGGTTTCCAAGTGTCAAATCCTTCGGTATTGAACACCGTTTCTCTTCTTGGAAGTCTTGAAGTGTTCGAAAAAACTAGTATGGTTCAGTTACGAGCAAAGTCCATTCTGCTCACCGGCTATTTGGAATATTTACTGGACAAACAGCTCAATAATCTCGGGTACAAAATCATCACTCCAAGAGATCCGCATCAACGCGGATGTCAAATTTCTCTGTTTTTTGAAAAAGAGAAATTCGAGAAAGTTTATAAGGATCTTTTGATTTATGGCATAATTATTGATGAGAGAAATTCTGATGTGATTAGAGTTGCCCCCAATCCCATGTATAACAGTTTTTCCGAAGTTTTCAGATTTGTAGAGGCATTGAAAACTATCATGGCTGACCTGGGAGTTAAGGTTTCCGCGGCCCATTAATTTAATCATGTGATTCAAAAAGACAATCTCCGATTTTGAGGGCCCAAATTTTGACCCCTGAAAGTCTGACATCCAATAAATGGTTTACACGATATTTAACAGTTAACCTCTATTTTTATTGAGCCGCACTATCGCCCCGATAACCAAATGAACAAGAAACATTTGTTCGATTTTCGACTAATCCTTTCCGGAAAGTCTTGTAACAGACCCCTTGTATTATAAATAGTCCATTTTGAAAGAAGTAAAAAAAATTTTCCATTCCATAAGCCCTTCATCTCGACTGCCTCTTCTGGAGGAAAACATAAAGGAACGATGACATTTGCAAAAGTAGCTTTTAGTGTTATTGGAATATACTCTTGTTTTCTCACTTGGGCAGTTCTGCAAGAGCGTGTTTCCACCACTCCCTACTACGACAATAAAGAATCGAAACCGCAACGTTTTCGATATTTCATTTTTCTCAATATGGTGCAGTCCATCACTGCTTCATTCATTGCATTCCTTTATATTATGTTCGTGGGCAAGAAAATTGAAGTTGGCTCAGTCAGTTCATCCATGCTGTTTCGATTATTGCAAGTATCTTTCTTCGGAGCGATTGGATCCCCATTTGGGTACGAGAGCCTGAAGCATATTGATTATCCTACACTGGTGCTTGGCAAGTCGTGCAAATTGATACCAGTGATGTTGGTGAATATTATTCTCTACCAGCGGAAATTCCCATTATATAAATACGTTGTGGTAACATTGATCACGCTCGGGGTATCATGCTTTATGCTTTTACAACCTGTCTCGGAAAAGAAGAAGGCAGTTGCTTCCAGCTCTTTCTATGGTCTTATGTTGTTATCAATTAATTTGTTGATAGATGGAGTTACCAATTCAACACAAGATCAAATATTTCACAAATACAAGGTCTCCGGACAGCAAATGATGTTTTTCATGAATATGTTCAGCGCCCTATTAATGTTTACTTGGCTGATCAATCCGTGGAATTCGGAACTCAATGATGCTCTGGTGTTTTGTCAAATTTTTCCCAGCGTGCTCAAAGATATTTTGTTGTTCTCGTTGTGCGGCGCTTTAGGACAATGTTTCATTTTTTACACATTACAAAATTTTGGATCGTTGTTTTTGGTTACCATAACCGTCACCCGAAAATTCTTTACGATACTGCTTTCTATATTTTGGTTTAACCATCAGTTAAATTGGGGTCAATGGTTAGCCGTAGGATTGGTGTTCTCGGGAATTGGATTAGAAGCGATTGTTAAACAATTGGATTCGATAAAGCTAAAAGAAAAAAAGATCATGAGCGATGGGGCCAAACCGTTGGAAGAAAATAAAACGGGGCGAGGAGAAAACGGTGCAGTGAGTCGCGCGAAGATGGAATGAGAATTATGAATCAGGAATAAGACGTTGACAAATTACGTGTTTTAATTGTCATTATATTTTAACTAAATATTACTACAATAGATTAGAAAAAGACATGTAACTATATACCTCATAAATCATCTTTCAGTTGTAAAAATCATCAAGAGCAAGCAATTCGAGTCATAATTAAGAGAACGGATTATAATTAATGGTTTATGTATTATATTCTGCAGAGAGCGAGTTCTATTGGTTAGATTAATAATAAATTTATTTATAAGTTAGAGAAAATTTACGATACTTAATATCTATTTTATTCTTAGAAATAAATAAATGAAATGCTGCGAAATTTGTTTTTAATGAATAGTAAGCTAAAATGGATGTTATCAATATTTAACATTTACTATATATGCAACGTATAGCATTTTTTTTTTAAAAAAAATTGAATTCGAAACTACAATAATTATAATACTAATATATTTAAGTAATTTGTATTATGAACGGTGCAAAAGATAAACATCTCGATTAATTGCAAATAAAAAATTCTTTAGTAGAGTAAAGAATTTTTTTTAGATTTTAAAACCCATTTTTTAATATAGCTTTGTTGAAATGTATTCATTAAATTTAATACACATATTGTCATCATATTTATTTATAATCTTTTTTAAAAACCCCGAAAAAGTCTATTTCTAATTTAAAAAAATTTTTTTTATCTTGATATCTAATCTTTTATAACTATTTAAATGATTTTTATTATTTGAACCATACAGTACAGTAAAAATATAAATAAAAAAATTATAATAATTATAATAATGGATTTATGGATTTTATTTAAAATTTTTATTCTAATAAAATAAAATCTTGCATAAAATATAAACAACTTTCAAAGTTTCTACTGTTATTTTGATTATATAAAAAAAAAATTGTAATATGTAATTTTCTTTTATAATTTTATATTATCTTTATTATTATTATTGTTGTGGTTATTATTTATATTTCTTAATATTAAAAAATAATTTTTAAAAATAATTTATATTATTTTATTCTTAAGTTTTAGAATATGTTTGAATAAAATTTTATAAAATTTTAATAATTTTTTTATTTAATTATAAAATAAAATACAAAATTTCAAAAAAATATAACTTATACTATATATTATATATATAGTATATTAATAAATATTTTAAATATTAAATGTTTTAAAAAAAAAAAAAAAAACTCTTTCCCGGAAATTACCAAATTCTTAAAAATTACCTTTTTTGATAATTTTAAAAACACTTGTCAAAAATCATCTTTACTTTCAAAAAACATAAAAGAATCACAAGTAATAAAGAACTATAATCAAAATACAGCTATCCTGAAAGGTAAATCCACTCTGTGAACCGTACTACTAACTATTTTTGTTAGATACCTTTTCTTTTCTCAATAGACAAATTATATCAGAGAAAAGAAAACACAAGTATTACAATTCACAGTAAGCTCAAAGAAAAGTCAGCATCAACCCTCCTAGCTTTTAGCCAGTCATGTACAAGATTCTGTACCTCCCTAGACACCAGAAGGATTTTTGCTGGCCTGATTTCACCCGATAAATCAGGCAACCTCGACATCAAACAAAAAACAAGGGGACACCAGACTTTTCTCAGGGAATTCAGATCAAAGGACCCAAATAAACAAACAACAATACATTAACCAATATCAATAACTTATAATTACGTGACAAATTTTTAATTGAGGGGAAAAACCAGAATCAGCTTACCCTCAGCAAGTGATCGACACATCAAAAAACATGTAAAACAAATCAAACAATCCAAGTAAACAAGATCTACACGTTAACCAAAACCAAATAAGTTTAAGTAAATAACATCATCACGTCAACAACGTAAATGTATCAGCAAAATAAACACGTCCCGTAGTTAATACATCAACCAAAAAGCTTAAGTAAACAACACCAGCACATCAACAAAATAAATACAATAGCAAAACAAACACGTCATATAGTTGACACGTCTATATCGCAACCACAGTTTCTTAAGCAAGTATTAACAACAACAAACACGTCACTACAATCAATCTATCCAATTAACTATGACCA